CCCCCCCAAATACAGTACATGGTGTTTTTTGTTTGTTTGTGTTTTCTGGCTGTTGACAGTATTTTCTGATTTAAAAATATCCAAAATCCTCTCCGTACAAATTTTTAACTTTAATATGTCAACAAAATGAATTTTGAACCTGGCTTTATCCGATAATTTCTGGTTTGTTATTGATTTCTAAAAGCAATAAACCAGTATGAATGAATGAATGAATGCTCTCATATCTAAAAACCGGTAAATGTACTTCCTCACGGATTGATTCAGTATGAATAGTCATTATTTGTGACATTTGTGCTTTAATGTGTGATAGGACAAATGATGAGATCTGGGGTTTGCAACGGAAGATCTTGTGTTACACAGGACCTCCTGTGGTTTACAAGAAGAGGAAGTCATAAACTCAAAAGGACAGCTTTTAAACTGCACATTTACAAAGTGCGTCATATTCAAACTCAAATAGCGCAAGTTTCCTGTTTAATGTTTTTGAACTGTTGAGGAATAACAAATAAATGGAGCAATGCTGTTAGCTAAATTGCTTATCTGTTTACAGCATAGTGCAGTTTTATTAATATTAGTATTTATTAATAATATATTTCAACAATTATAGCATGAAAAATATATTAAAATTATTTTAGCTCTGCATATATTTGGTTTACATAATGCAACATAAGCATTGCATTGCTGTTTATCACTATATTTTCAATTGAATTACATGTGAATTTTTGAGATCATTGTTGTTGTTGTTTTTTTCACAATAGTTTTTGATTGTATGTAGTGTAACTATCTATTTGGTAGGGTGGCTTGACTGTCGTTTTATTTTAGCTTGCCAAACTACAAGCTACTCATGATGTAAGTATCTGCCTTATCACTGCACCAAAATATGATAAATGCTTACCTGAACATTGTCTCAGCCTGCATGTTACCAAACCAGACCTGTAAGTGTGGACCGAAGTTTTCTCCGTGAAGCTCCAACATGGCCACATGTCCTCCTCCGTTCAACTAAATCACCAAGGACACTTGTTAGTGTTGTTTTATTTGACATACATCTCATAGAGTTTCATATTAAATTCAGCTCCTGTTGAAGAGATGTAATGAATCTGGCTGGATTTCTGACCTCTAGTCCGTTGATGACAGGTACAGGGCTGATGGTGGTCGGGTGACTGGTCAGACTCTCGCTGAAGGTGTATTCAACCACCTCTGTTCCAATGATCGTCCAACAGGAGCCGTCATTCAGTAACACCTTATTACTTTCTTTAGGACACGGAGAGGCCTGTGAGTTTGGAATGACATGGGGGTGAGTAAATGATGACAGTTTTCATTTTGGGTTGAACTGTTGTTCATATTTAACTGTTACTGCCTGTGTTCACCTGGAACTGTATGATTTTTTCATTAGACAGGCACAGGTACATATGGCTACTGTCTCTGAACTGGAAAGCACATTTATGAAGCTGAGACACAGGCTCATCCACGTCTAGACATGCATGCTGCTTGTTCACTTTACGTATTACCTGCAAGGAAAGAAACAGAATCAGGTAACTATTCACACAGCTGACCATTTTGTTCTTTTGTACATTTAACATCCCCTTAAAGGAACAGTTTACCCTTTTTTCACTGAAGGAAGCATTGTTAAAGATTATGGACTCATATTTAGGCCAGAAGCAATGGTTTGACATTAAAAATATTTTAATTATTAATTTGTTTCTTTAAACATACTATTTTTGGCTTTACAATACATTAATTGATGGACTAGAGTCCTGTGGATTACTTGTGGATTATTGTCATGTTTTTATCAGCTGTTTTGACTCTCATTCTGACGGCACCCATTCACTGCAGAGGATCTGTTGGTGTGCAGGAGATGGAATGCTACATTTCTCCAAACCTGTTCTGATGAAAAAAAAATTAATCTTGGATGGCCCGAGAGTGAGTAAATTATCAGCTAATTTTCATTTTGGGGTGAACAATTCCTTTAATAAAGAGCAACAGTGAGCATCCACGTTTTCTTAATCTTGGTTCCGAATATATTTCTTTACATTCATTTTCTTCATTGTACAGAAGTATTTGATCAACATCATTAGCTACCAAGGTAGGTCTCTTATGAAAGGTTTATATGTTATATGTTGTTAAAAGGAAGTTTCTTTGTAGAGACAAAATGGGGTTTTACTTCCTTGCTGTTTTTCAGATTTTATATATTACACTTTAAAAATAGTCTTTTGACTAGTTCTTTTTTGTCAGTGATGGTTCCATAGATCCTTTCCATTGCACAAAAGGTTCTTAGTAGTGAAAAAAGTGTTCTTTAGATTATTTAAATGTTCTTCACACTATAAAAATGGTTCTTTTAAGAACAGTTCACTGAAAGGTTCTTTGGTAAAAGATTGTTTTTGTATTCCATTTTTTGCAAAAAAAAAAAAACCCTTTTGGAACCTTTTTGGAAACCTTTATATTTAAGAGTGTAATTGTAGAAAATTATCTCCATTTTTGTTCCCAGACTTCTGAAATTTGATACGAGCAGACTTAGCCATTAAAAAATGAAAAAAAGATTCATCACCCTCCTATCATGCACCACTGCACCTGGTCCCTGCAGCACCTGTGTGCTGCACAATATGCTTGACTGTTCACTCTCCTCCGACACTAGAAATCCTGCTGCATGACGGCTTCAAATACACGCTTGCAAACCAAAACAAACCAGTCAGCAAATTCAAGCAACTAAAATAACACTGTGAAGGTCTATTCTGTTTGCTAGTCTGCATGTGGTAGTCTAAATGTGGTATTTAAACATCGTCCTTGGCATTTTGTTTAAGTACTTTATCAGCAAATTGTGACGCAGGTTGGTAGCAGCCGGGCTTCCAAAAAACACCACAGGGATGGAAACTTGAACAGAATTAACTTCAGAGACATGGGTGAAAAATATGGATCAACTTGCAGATTCAATTCAGAAAGGGTTTTTTTTTTTTTTAAAGGGGTGTTAAATATGATGCTGCTAAAAAGAACATTATTTTGTGTATTTGGTGTAATTAAGAGAAAGGACAAATTTAAATCGCATCATATGACCCCTTTAAATAAAAAATGCATGCAGTTCTGTGTGGTATTGCTAGTAAAACATACATTACACATTTTACCTTAATTTCAGCTTGGATATCTTTTAAAAATATAATTTGGCTAATCATGTAATAGAAACTAAATCAGTTTTATATTTGCATACTATACCATTGGTGGCAGCACCACTCCTGAGTCAGTGCATACCAGCTGAACCACACAGCCGTAACAGATGTAGCTGTCACACACGGTGTATTCACTATGAGTGGCTGGCATCTCCTCCACTATAAAGAAAGAGAGCGAGTATTAGGCCACTGTAGGGGATGAGAAAGAAAAATAGACCTCACTCAGATTCGGCCTCGAGTGCTGTATTGGGGTTAAACCCATTTATGCTACATTTATTCCAGCTGTTGAGCACATGTTGCTGACATTTACAACTGGACCTTTTAGAAATTTTTTTTGTGAAATTTCTGGACAACTGATTTTACTCTCAAATGCAGCGAGGCGCTAAAGGCGTTTGTTAGAGTTTATTTACACTGGACATCCAGCATAGAGTATTAACCTATTTGGCCAGTTGTTTCTAAACTTGTTTGGGTTTCTTCCGTTTATTTAGCTACTGTGGTGAACAGTGGATTAGTCACTAGAACTGAGCGATAGGCAAAAGCATATGCAAGGGTGAACCCGCTTTAATGGGAAAACTTCTGCAAAAGGAGTTCCCCATGTCATTAGTGTGAATTAGAAGTTGCTAATATAATAATACTGTTAGAATATGTTATGTTTACAGTATATGTGCAGATTTAGTTTTTCTCTGCACATACAGTGGGTACGGAAAGTATTCAGACCCCCTTCAATTTCAATTCTGTGTTTTTCTGTCAATATGGGGTGCTGTGTGTACATTAATGAGGAAAAAAAATTAACAAATGATTTTAGCAAATGGCTGCAATATAACAAAGAGTGAAAAATTGAAGGGGGTCTGAATACTTTCCGTACCCACTGTAAATGCCCAAATTGCATGCAGTTATTACTATTACTTTCATGTTGTTAAATAAATGTTAGGAAACATTTTACAGTAAGGTCTTATTTGTTAACATTAGTTAATGCATAAACTAACAATGGTCAATATTGTTTTACAGGATTTATTAACCATTGTTAACATTAGTTAATAAAAATGTTCATGTTAGCTGACAGTGCATTAACTAAAGTTAACAAATATATTTGATCTATGTATTGGTAAATGCAGAGATTAACATGAACTGCTGTAGAAGAACTGTTTATTGTTAGTTTACTAATGTTAACAAATTAAACCTTTTTGTAAATTGCTACCAAATGCCATCTAAAAAATGGGAACCCAGGATTTAAAAATATATAGTGTGAAATCTTGAAACCTGACTAGTACCCAGGATTCATTACTAACGTGTGAAAAGCTCATAGTTTATAGCTTTTGTCACTTAAAATATTTTTTTTCCAGTTATGAGGATTAAGATAAAGAGGAATAAAGGCAGAATAAAAGAAAAAGCATTGGATCTCAAACCTAACGTGACAGTGAAGGCCGTCCATTGTTTCGCGCTGGCAACAAAAGCCCCGTCTTCCACCGCCAGGTAACGTGTACTGACCGTCTGAGACCGCAAGCGGTTAAACAACGACACTTTTGAGCCTGATGAAATGCACACTGCAGAAACAATCACATACTTTTTAGAAAGTTTCAACAGGTTTTTTTTTTTTTTTTTTACAATAACTGAACCAATAGGCAAACAAAAGAAACACCATTCATAATTTAAACCCTCACTGATCCTAAACATGCTCATTCAGACTGACAAGCAGACAGCAAACACAAATGACTGGTATACTGTGACTAATGCCAGTCGGTTCTTTTCCTTAATCTTTGTCTCATTGTCCGTCTCTCCCACAGAACGGTGAGGAATTCAACGTCACTTGACAACTGCTCTCAGATGTCAAGCGCCTCTTTCTTCCCCTTAGAAGCTCTCTGTGGATCCAGCAGTCAATGTCAACAGAATATGCCCTCTTAGTGTGTGCTTTAGGATCAGAAGGTTAGAGGTCAAATGTCTGACTCCTGTGGCAATGGCTGCCGGGTGACACCAGTTAGTGGCTTGACCCCACTTCTTATACACAAAGACACGCAAACACACTTACCCAAACTTACAGGAGTTCTGTTTCGACACCGGTCGACCCTCTTTACGTAACGGCACTTAGTTAGAGTAGATGTCATATTTGATTTGACGCAAATGAAGGATAGCTGAACAGTCAATTCAATGGCTTGTTGACAAAACAAAACAAAAAAATTATTACCAAAAAATTCAATTTGGACAAAAAACGTAAAAATTACCTAGAACCTTAAAACTGCACAACATACTGAACTGACTGTCCTTCTATTACTCACATCATCAAATTCATTTGCATCGTTACGTATGGACATTCAAAATTGCACACACATGCACAGACTCACGGTCAGCGTTTTTCATGGACTGCCTCTTCTGTGATGGTTTGGAGATGACTTTAATGAGTCTGCTGGTAAATGTGCCAATTTCTTGCCCTCCACTGTGATACATGTGTAGCAGCAGACGAAAGTGCTTTCGTTTGTCCTTATCTGAGATATACAAGGTTTTTGCGCAGGCAAACATCTGAAAAGCATAAACGAGCCAATTGTTAACATTTACAAAAGTTTGCAAGTTTAAGGTTAGTACGATTTTTTGTTGTTGCTGTTTTTTTTTTTAAAGTTTCTTCTGCTCACCAAGGTAAGTGGTGAGCAAGATTACAGTAAAAACAGTGAAATATGTCTATTATGTAAATTAATCATTTTCAATTTGAATATATTGTAAAATTTAATTTATTCCTGTGATCAAAGCTGAATTTTCAGCATCATTACTCCTGTCTTCAGTGTCACATGATCCTTGAGAAATCATTCTAATATGCTGCTTTGCTGCTCAAGAAACATTTCTGATTTTTATTAAGGTTGAACGCAGTTGAAATCATTATAAATATATAGTTCAGTCATGAAACTCTAGATGGCGCAGGCTGATGGGGTGTTAACATAACTGATGATATTCAGAGAGTTAAACGACTTGGCACAAGCTGACTGGTTCATGCTGCATATGCAGCCAATGAGCTTACTGCCTTGCATTTATATGGCTGGCTAGCATTCACTTGAGATTCCTGCAGCTCGCTTTCAGAGTTCTCTGAAACCCTCCACCCTCCCCAGCTCCACCTGTATAGATCTGCTACGGGGTTATTTTATATGCTATTTGTGCAGCAGCAGCAGCATGTCTTAAATACTCACGGCACCGTATCGCCGTATGCATAGGCAGTAGCAAGTTCCTGTACTTGCTTGCAGCAGAAGCAGCAATAATCTACAACTACAGCAATAACCAACAGCAGCAGCAATTCAGCAGCAGCATAGCAGATCTGTTCCGCCAAGACCAAATACATTAACATTGTCATATCCATCACCATGCTAAAATGTTCCCAGCGTTGGTCTTGATTGAAATGCCTTTACTGTGACTTTTGGCCAAATTAATGCATCCATGCTGATTAATTTCTTACTGACCTCAAACTTTTAAATGGTAGTGTAATTGTTAATTGTATCTAAAGCATGTGAGTTTATTTTGAGATCTTTGATTGCAGACTTTGGTATCTGAGCACAGTTGGAGACATTTTTGAGATCTCATCTCAAATCACATAAGATCACATAAATCTGACAAGTGAATAACCTTATCAAAAGTTCTTGTTGTTCTGGTGGTATATTCAAGAGATCTTATTTGTGAGTATTATTTTCTGTGGTCAGGAAGGTTTAAAGATCATTCATCTTCATGTACATCCATCTGCCCTCCTTACATAAACCTGGTTGTAATCCAGGTTGAATAAACATATGATCCCATCTCCAAATCTAGCTGTACACACAGCAGTCATGTTCTCTCATAAACCCGACAGACTCTCTCCTCTTTGATCGCTGGGCTTTGGCAATGTCTCACCCTCCTGTCTGTCTGCTCCTCAAAGCTCAGCTTGAAACTGTCTGTCCGTGGATCAGCGGAGCTGTCCAGACCCATGTAACCGAAAAGCCGACAACTGGACTCTCCTAGACCTGATGCTGTGTGAATACAAATGGCAAAATTACAGTGAATTACAAGGGTAAGGATGAAGATGTTCTCTCACAGCTCACTGACCTTTCAGCTGCTCCTGTCTAAGTCTCCATCCGTGTCCAGTGAGATACACGCAAGGAGGCGGACTGAAAAACCTATGAAAATGCACAAAACGATTATTTTTGGAACATGAAGAAAGAGGGTGTGCAGTAGTTTTACTTGTAAATGATCTGGTAAGTGATAAAATAATTTCAAAAACATGGTTTTGGAGGTAAATAATTAGCGTTTTATACAATACAGACTGTTTCAAAGTAGCTTTACATTAATAAATAGGAAAATAACAGTACTACTGTTGTAAAATTAATCAGTTATGAAACATTCAACTGTAAAGCAGCTCTACAGAAGACAATTGCATCATTCAGCTCAATTTAGTTTAGTTCAATATCTCTCAATCATTTCATTAGTTTAATTAAGCTATACGCAGATATACAGAAGGCAAGTTCATTAGTCAGTTCAATGATGATTTATTTCAATGTTGCAATTTTAACGTCATTATTCAGCTGAATTCAATTGTAAAAATCAGTTAATTAAGCTTTTGAAACATGGTAGCTGGTCCAAGCTAGTTAACCAGTTGGTGGAGACCTGGTTTAATGGGTTATCCATCTTTATCAAGTTGTTTAGAGCTGGTAGACCAGCAACAAACCAGCTTTAATGTTCCAAAAACCATTTTAAGCTGGAATGATGTTTTTTTTTTTTTCTCTGCAAGGATTTGATTTAGTCATCAGCTGGTCAACATCTCAAACTGGCAAATAACCTGAAGTTGGTTTTACATTTTTCAGTATATTTATGTGTGTATATGCTTGTAAATTTTCACAATGAAAAATGTGAATGCACAGATGAAAATCATTTTTACCTCTTCTCATTGCCGTAAGACTTCTGAGCAACTTTGGCATGCAAGATGATCACTGATTGGTCAGGTCTGAATTGGAGGTATTGCCTCACTGAATCTCTGTTTACTTTTGACAACGAGGAGAAATTTTGATCCTCCCTAGTGATGCACAAAAATATTTATTTTAAACTTAGTGTTACAAAATGGTAAAACGGTGGTAAATCCAAACGCATCCTCTCCAAAATCATGCAATTTACTCTTTGAAGTCAATTATCTGTGCATTTCTCAGAGATCCAATCATGGAAAAGGTCTTTACCGGTTTCAACATAAATATTGTTATTATTTCAGAAAGTATTGAGGCAGTGGGACATTAACAGCTTTTTTGGCTATCCTTTATGTCTGTGGTAGACCTACTGCGCTTTCTGACATACAGCAACAAGCAGCGTTAATGATTCAGTAATAGATACGAGTTACAATAATAGATATTCTGACATAAATATAAGCCATTTTTATGTGGGTGGTTTTAATGTGTAGACTTCAGCAGAGGACAGGAACTTTCCAATTATTTTAAGAGGGAAAAAAAACACGACATGATACATTTGCAATATATTTCAATATAAATCCTTTTTATTCTAATTTCCTTTTTAAATCCTTTTAGGATAAATGCCAATGACACAGAAAGGGAACCTTGTAATATTTGTTCAAATAAGAAAACATCTCCCTTTGTGTTCCACAGAAGAATGAAAATCTCATGGTCTTGCAATGACGTATTATTGGTTAGTAAAAATTACAGGATTTTCTTTTTTTTTTTTTAACAAGCAACTCTCTATTCATCAATGAATCCTGAAAACATCACAGCTTCCACAAAAATATTAAGCAGCACAACTGTTTTCAACACTGATAATAATAATAATAATAAAAAATGTTTCTTGAGCAGCAAGTCAGCATATTAGAATGATTTCTGAAGGATCATGTGACACTGAAGACTGCAGTAATGATGCTGAAAATTCAGCTTTGCATCACAGGAATAAATTACATTATTGTATTTTTAATCAAATAATTGCAGCCTCGGTAAACATGAAACACTTCTTTCAAAAGCATTAAAAACTTTGACTCTGAAAATTTGAACTTTGAACTTCATATGATCTGTTTGCAGTGACTCATTTTAAATAATTTTATTACTTACTCAATTCGAAACAGTTCTGGGAGTTTTAATTAAGACCCCAAGGATATAAATGTGATATTTCCCAGCAGAGTGAAGTGCTTTAATTGAAACTCACTTAATTCCCCAGGCTTAGGAAGTTTCAGTCAGTCTGCCCAGATTTTTATTTGAGGTCTTCCCAGGAGGATACGGGGTCAGAGGGGCACTGATGCTATTTCCCACTTAGAGTGTGTTAGGATGAGGTCAAATGAGATCCCAGTGTTTGGCTTTTTTAAATTATTGCACACAAAACTTTTTAATTCTTTGTATGGTTAGTTAACATGAAATATGCAGTTTAACATGCTGTACTTTTTCTAAAATTATTTTGAGTGTTTTTCTTCTAGTTACAGTCTACACACTTTCCCTTTAAAAAATACACTTTCCCTTTATAGTAAGTCATGATACAGTTATTCGTTGACTACCCTAATACAGACCACAGTCATATTTCACAGGAAGCCTATAAAGAAAATCACTGCATCACTGTAAATGAAATTTAGACTGATAAAGTCAGTTCTTTGTTCACTAATGGCACTTCAAGAGCTGGTGCATCAGTCGTGGACTAAAGCAGAACCGCAAGGAATTTCTGTAGGCTCACTGAAAGAAAGCGTTAATGTTCTCTCCTGCTGCAACCCCCCAAAGAAATCCTGCCTGCTCTTCCCATTTCGGACGGGGGTGGGATCTACATTTTAAACGTGCTCTGTAGATTTAATACCTGGCCAATGTCTTGACTGTTCACTCTATGCTTGAATAATAGCCTGGAGAGGTTACTACTCACCTTAGAACACTGTTTGACTCTTTTAATAGGCTTTATAAACCACTGCTGCGTCATTTTGTGGTAGTTTTGGATACCGTTGCTCTCTTCTACAGGAGAGACTGTTCCTGTGTCATTACCTGAGGTGAGTGAAGCACGCGTCTGATGTGTACAGGTGAGATACTTCTGTCAAGTCCACAATGGCCAACCCTGGAGAATTAGGAGGAAAATGCAGTGTTGCTTGCGATTTCATTGTTTCATTGACTAATTAAACAGTTTGTTTAACGACCTGGACAGTGACCTTCTAAAAAAGAAACACATTTTGACGGGAAAAAACTTTAAAATAGCAGTCGTGAGACCGTTTAACCTAGTGAATGTGAGAAATGTGCTCAGCTGAGCATTTTTGTGTTATTTTTAAACGATGTTTTTATGTTAAATGTTAACCTCAATAATAAAACAGACGCAATTTTCATTTAAATACTGCAAAGTATAATATGCATTTTATATAAAAAATAATTTATTTATAATGCAATGATTTTTTCGTTATAAAATTCAATTGGTTCTTCAAATAGGCTGTTTTTATCTAGGCAATTTTTGAGTATGATGACACTATTTGGAATAAATGTCTGTCACGAGATTTAATTAAAAATATACTTTATTTGATTAATATTTAATTTGTATGTGTAAACTATTTTAAAATGTTATGTGACCTATGTTCAATATAATGTGGCGTTGTTGTGATCGCATCACGTGGTCTTTATTTTTTTTTACCCGCGAAAAGTGTATTTATTTAAAATACTGACATATTATTTCTGCTGTCTGTATATCGTGCACAGTATGTGAATTTTCTGTATCCATTAAATATTATAGTGTGTGGTTTACTATCAAAGCATATTGTGGAAAAACGTCTCCCACAATGCAGTTCTCCTAAATTGGCCTTCCATTTTCAAGTAGAAGCTATGTCAGCTACCATTTTTAATATATATATATATATATATATATATATATATTTGCTAAATATTTGTTCAGAAAGCAAAAATGCAATCTAGAAAAAGTTTAATTGCAGCATTTTTTAATTTTGGGATGATGATCAAATGTCTAATTTGTCAAATGTCTAATCAATGCAGCATATACTAATTTTGAAAATGATTCATAAAATAAATGGTTCCAGAGCAATTCTTATAAAAACTATATTTTATTCTTCTGAATGTTCTATTAAAGCATACGTGGCAGTGCACAGTATACACTGTGCAGTCAGTAGGCCTAGTTAGTATTCCCTTCCAAACACAGCCAAGACTTGAACTAAACTAAATATAGATCAGCATGTAACAGACTGTCTGTGTCTCAAAACTTAGTGAGCCGCCAACCTAAACAGCATATTTGGGCATCATGCTTTCCACAGTGCTATCTAGATAGGCAGCTAACATGTACATGCTTTAGGTGCACAGTGGTTGGCTGGAGGCAAAATGCTATTAGTAGTAAAGCATCACATCTGCTTTCAATCCCACTTTAACAAGAAGCTGCTGTTAGTTAATCTAACTGTGCTCTGAAGCTGTCAGTCAATCGGCTGCCAAAGAAACCACGCTTGTCATTTTCCTCCATTCGCCCTCCTCCTCTAATGCTCACTCACACTGGGTTTTTCTTTGGTCTGTCTGTGCCCCATGTCAAGCTGAGAGAAATGTTTAACCCATGGAGATCCCTTTGGGTGAGAGCTGCGATCCGGGAAGCTTAAACAGTCTTCTAAAGGGAGAGAGATATATATATATATATATATATATACAGCACACTGGAAGAAATGTTGTTGCTCTTTTTTTCTCACTCCTCTACGTTACTCTGATGGGTGGATATGGTTTCTCTTGGTCTAGGTTCCTCAAAGGAGCTGTCTTTTTTTTTTTCTTCCACATACAATTTATAATGATAATTTTTTTCCCCTTAATTTTTCAAGCTCAGAGATTGATGAAACCCATGATGAATAAGGTCATATTTTATCCCAAAGCCAAAAAAAAAAAAAAAAATCTAATTTGTTTAAAGAATATTAAGCTTATCTAGTATTTGTTAATTATTTTAGTATTATTTTATTAGCCCCTTGCATTTCATGCTAATTAATATATGTTCTTTAAACTGTAAAGGTAGTTTTTGTTGTCCTCCCTTTAAATTATGCTGATATATGATTTATGCTGAGAATCAGATATTTGTTTTAATGCTTTATACTAATGAGAATTCATTTTTTTAATAAATATCTACAAATATTATATAATAAATATTATATAATATAAATGACAAATACATATTCTTTTATTTTACTTGTTTTATTTTTAACTGTTTAATTGTCAGCTAAATTTTGGAATATTGCAAATATTAAAGATCCTAAAACAGGCTTTTTATGCAAAATATGATTTTATTTTTAAGAATCCCCAGCATTGTTAATGTGGTTCTCTTTTATTCATTTTATTTCTTTTTAATACATTAAATACAAATATTACATAATTATATAAATTACATAATATAAACAAATAAATATTTAATTTATTTGATGATTAACTAAAATTGTCAGGAAAGTGATAGCATACTGCAAATCATAAATATCAAAATATTTATATCTTCAAATAATGCCCACCATTAAATAGTTATTTTATTAATTTTTCATTCAATCTCAATAAAT